ATTTTAAAGCATCCATGTGAAAACAAACCTGGAAAGAGACGTTAGGATTTGGGGAGAAAATCAAGAGATTCTTAGTGCATTCCAGTAAATTATTCATAGTATATAGCCTATTGTAAATTAAATCAGGAGGTCAGACCACAAATGCGCAGTAGTTTATGTTTGTTTTTTTCCCTCCCATGTTGTTACAGCAGAATACAAAGGAAAAATGAAAATAATGAGGAAAAGACTACAGCAGACTGAAAAGAGCTCTTCTCATAGATATTCTTGTTATACCATGTCACATTAAAATACCAAGTGTTATGTTATTCTATAGACATCTGAAAATTGAACATGAAATAAAACTTGCAACTCAGTGAAACTGATGGATAAGGATCATTTTTAGTACAACTTTTTAATTTGAAATTATTTGTTTCAGTCTTTTAGTATAGAACGTCCCCAAACTGGAAGTGCATCCCATAATTAAAAAAACAGTATAGGCTTTCTAGGAAAAAGATGGATAACTATCTTTAAATTTAGCACTGAAAGAAAATGGAGCACAATGTTCATTGTTATTTTAAAGGTTCAGTTTTATTTAAATTCCCCAGAATCTGCGGTAGGAGGCACACCTTACTATAATGATGTCAGCACAGGTCCAACAGGTCAGTGAATCTGTAACTTGATCACAGGATTTTACTTAATTAAGTAGTTAGGTTTTAATTAATTAAGTAGTTAATTAAACTACTGAGCCTGTGAACAGTAAAATCAAGTTTTTTTCACACCCTTTCTTGTTTTTGCTTTTAACTCATTTAAAGAGCAACAAGTCACACCAGAGAATTATGATGATGTAATCACTGTTGGACTGACACATCATACTAGAGGTTTATTTCTTTTATTATTTGAATATGCATGTATAATTTTATGGGCATTTTATTTCTATTATAATTTTTAAGTTATGTGTCTTTTGATTGTCACATTTTATTTTTGTTGCAGGTGACATATCAGAAAGCTATGATGATGTTGTCATCATAAGACAGCTCTCCAATAATAAAGCAGGTGTGAGTTTCATATTTTACTTTTTTAAATAGACTGGTACAGTGTTTTTCTTTTCTTTTACTATAGTTCATTATAGTGTTATATAAATTATATAGACTTAGTTTTTATATTGTATATTGTGATATATTAGTGTATTTTGAAGTGCAGTGTGAGATTTTGTTCGTGTAATTAATGACTGGCATTTTTTTTATCAGAGGGAGATCTGGAGGAGTATGATAATGTAAGGAATGTCAGGGAAGATGTGCGAGACCTCTCTGGTAGGTTACTGTGACCTGCTTTACCTCACACTGATTATGTCTAGTTTTCATAACTAAAAATTATAATGCAATTTAAACATTTGCTTTTGTTTTCTAACAGCAGACTATGATTATTTGAGGGAAGAGCCAGGAAAACAGGGAGGGACTGTTTAAGTCAGTGACTACACCCACTGCCTCACATCTTATTACAGCTTTTAGTTGCTCTGCACTTAAAAGTGTTGAATGTACCAACACAATTGCATTTAGCCAAAGCTTGCTGTTGTTACAATTACTAGACATTAATAGAAAACATGGACATCAATTCAGTACAAATATAGAACAAATTCATAAAAAAGATAGGGTGTTTATGTGATAATTTTAAAAAGCTGAAGGTGTCCAGGTCAAAAGCACCTGCTTTTAAAAAGCTGAAGGTGTCCAGGTCAAAAGCACCTGCAGAACAAAATGACCAACATGCTTTTTACTCTTTTGCTCTACAGTTATATTCTTTTGAAATAAAAGATTGTTGCACACTGCTATGTATTGTAAATGTATTTATCTTATGAGTGCATTTAGCAAAAAATAGAAATGATTCTCTCTTTTCTGATGTTTAGAGTTTCTTCAAACATTTACAATTTTATTTAGACAACAATAATGAATGACGACAAATTCAGATTTGTTTCTTTATTAAAGCTGCCATGTGGAACATTTGCCTTTTTATCGCCATCTCCGTTTTTAACATAAACTTGTAAGTTATCAGAACATATAATACATGATCAGGGATAAAACATGGTTGTATCTCTAATAAGACATTTACAGTAAAAAAAAAAAAAGTTTTTGTTGTTGTTTCTAAGTCTGACAGATGAAATTAGAAAGTTAAATTCAACAAAGAAAAAATTGAGATGCAAATTGAGACAGAAAAAAATAACCAATTAAAAAAAAAAAAAATTTTTTTGCATGTGAATAAAGAATTTTGCATACAAATTTAAAAAAAAAATGCTCCAGTTACTGACGTAACCTCGGTTCCCTGAGATAAGGGAAAGAGCGTTGTGTATGGGGAGAACTCCTGTTTGACTCTGTACTGAAGCCTGATTTGTTCACGTTTGTCCTGTTTACTCTGTTACTGAAGCCTGATTTGTTCACGTTTGTGTAGTTTGCACAAACCAATGGTGCTTTAGCCAGCCAGAAAGGGCAGAGCCGTGTAAATAAGTCGGCTCGCAGCACCATTTCATCAGAATCATTCGACTGAAGTGACAGTCATCGATTTGCGTGCAGCTTATAGCATGGCAAGTGACACAGCGCTCGTTCCCTTATCTCAGGGAACTGAGGTTACGTCAGTAACCGGAGCTTTCCCTTTCGGACATTCACTTCACGTTGTGTACAGTATGGGGAAAGAAATAAAAGAAGCCGTGCTATGCGCAGAAGCAGACAAAGCTGCTCTGCGAGCCCAGTTCTGGAGCAATTAAGTTAAGGGACAGACAACATGAGCCAACTGAGTCCCGAGCATAGCTGAGGACTTTTGGACATAGCTATTTCCACCGTAGGGAGAAATAAGCAGTTTAAGCCGATAAAATCCATGCCTGGAGAGCAGGGACATCTAGGCTGCAAAATCTGGCAAACATGGATGGCGACGACCAGCCGGCGGCCGCACATATCTCACCAATAGAGATTCCGCTGGACCAAGCCCAGGAGGAGGCCATTCCTCTAGTGGAGTGGGCCCTCACACCTATGGGGCCTTGCAAACCTTCTGAGGCATAAGCCAAGGCTATAGCGTCAATTATCCAGCGGGACAGTCTTTGCTTTGTAACCGGCATCCCCTTAGAGCGGCCTCCAAATCAAACGAAAATTTGCTCCGACTGTCTGAACAGGCTGGAGCGTTCAAGATATATTCTCAGGGCCCTGACAGGGCAGAGAACATTAGGACCCTGCTCACCATCTGCAGCGGGGAGCGCCAGAAGGGTAATAACCTGGGCTCTGAATGGAGCTCCTAGCAGTTTTTTCTGGCCCTGAAAACCTTCCTGCCGGCCATTCCACAGAGATTCCACAGCGGAATCTCTATTGGTGGAATCTCTTCCTGCCGGCCATATCCTGCCGCATATGGCCGGCAGGAAGGTTTTCAGGGCCAGAAAAACTGCTAGGAGCTCTAGACAATTTATATGCAGGCGCCGTTCCAGGGTTGACCAGGAGCCGGACACTAGATTGTCCTCCAGCAGAGCTCCCCAACCTGAGTTGGAAGCATCTGTTGTAACCACCTTCCTCTTGGAGGTCAGTCCCAACCGTATGCCTGACTGAAACAGGCGTGAAGTTGTCCAAGGGGCCACAGCTTTGATACAGCGATGGTTTACCTTGATATAAAAGCGGCCCAGGCGTCAAGCGTGGGACGGGACTCTGGCTTTGAGCCAAAATTGGAGAGGTCTGTATATTGGTAGGCCACTCCCTCGAACGTGAATCTCAAGAACGGCCTGTGATGTGGGGCTATGTGTATGTGAAAGTAAGCATCTTTCAGGTCCACTGTTAAAAAACAGTCCTTGGGGCAAATGTGCGCGAGGATCTGTTTGATAGTTAACATCTTGAATGGCCGGCTCATAAGCGAGCGATTCAGATGTGGGAGATCCAGAATTGGTCTCAGCATGCCATCTTTTTTTATTTATTTA